TCTAACAGGCACAGTGCAACATTACAATCATTTTGAGTCATGTTTGTGGCCACCTACCAAATGTTAATCCAATTTTCATTTAGCTCTGCTTTGGTCTCCACCATCTCCTGAGAGAAGTCTTTCTAGAGCTTAGATCGGGCCCAAAAAATGGAGCCTGACCCGGCCCGAGCCCGTGCATGTTGTGTCCGGGACCGGCCCGGCCCGTCCAATTAACTGTAATTATGGGCCCGAGCCTGATTTAAACCCGGCATTTTTCAATAAGTTGGCTGTTATAATTAAGAGTGCCTGGGCACCACAGTGAGCGTGTTAGTGCCACGGAAGTCCTGCGAGTGTACTCGCAGGCGCTTGACTGTCCACACAGGCAGCACATTTCTCCTGCGCTCTCCGCGCCGGTTAAACATCGACTCCACTCGTCTGTTCCCGTCAGTACTCGTTTTTTCACTTCAACAGGTCATTTTAAACAAAAACCACAATTCTTGACATTTGAATAAGATCTTGACTTTACATGTGTCATACAAAGTGTGGTTTAATTTTACTTTTTATAATACATAGCCTTAACATTTCATTATCAAATCATAGCTTTAAAAAAAAAAAAAAAAAAAAAAGTCATGTCAAGTCAGGCCGGGCCCGGTCAGAGGGGGGCGAGGATCCCGGCCCGAAACGGCTTAGGCCCACAGGCCAGGTCAGGCCGGGCTGGGCCGGGCTCAGGCTCGGGCAGAGAATCTAAGCTCTAATCCACCCATGCACAGAGCCGAGTGGATCTGTGTTGGATAACATATCTCTGCAGCTTCAACACTACAAGCAACCCCCTTTACATCACACATAGTCATTTGAGCCTCTGTTCATGAAGACATATTGATTAGTGCAGCCATAAAAAGCCAAGAGGAGTAGTTGTTACTTTTCTTTCATCCATAACCTTGGGTTTATAGGACAGACAATACTAACAAACAAGTGCCATACCAAAAAAAATCTAAAAAATATTCAGTCGTAAATACAGAAACTAAGCTGTCCTTCATCCTTCGGCACCAATCCATCATCTGTAAGTAATGACAGCGGGGAACGCCTTCAGTTAAAAGCCATAACTTATTAATCCTTCACAGGAAAAATGTTATTCTCAGCCCCTGGTCAGGGCCCTGTGTCGATCGGAGGTTAAATTCCTGCTCAAGGACACCTCAGCTACAGGTCTGCAAAATATCTATAGATAATAACATCTCACCTCTGGTTACTGCCTACACTCCGCAGAGGGCTGAATGTTTCTCCTATCATCTGATCTGTAGCTTTTCACTTTCACTATCTCATATGCCAAACTATAGTACTACCTGATGAAACCAGCAGCACAGTTGATTTGGCATTCAATTGTTTCATTTTCTTTACAGGAAGCATCACATATAGCACTACACAGGAGTAAATTCTGCATTTACTGGTGGCTACTTGTTAATGGATTTATACTCATTTTGCGTATCAAAATTTTGTGTACGAGTGTTTATGACTGGAAACAACAGTGAAATGTTTATGGTAATGAAAGATTAATCCTCCCAGTTTTACAGTGTGGTTCACTGATGTGTTTTCAATAGTTTTTGGACAACAATGGAGCTCTATGGTGCAGAGGAAGAAGATAATATCAGGCTTTGGCTGCAGAGACAATACTTGTTTGTAGGATCTACTTCTCATGGGATCATCACCAGACTGAAGTATGCTTCATTAGAACTTCCTAACGCAGTAATACTCAGCGTATGGCTCACAGGCAAACCAAGTGTCACTGAGTTATCGGATGTGGAAACACCCTCCCTCCACACCTCTTCAACACTGGGTTGGGGAAGAAGAGGGGGGCTGCATCTGCCAACTATTATAAGGCCATGTTTACACAAAAATGATCCACTGAAAACAGAATTGTTTCTCATTTTCGTTTTGAAAAAAGTTCTGCGTTTAGACGACAACGTTTTAATAACAATCGCCGTACACACGTATCCGCAAAAATGACCAAAAACACTGCAGTATACACGTCAGGCCAGTAGTTGGCGGTGTGACGCTTACACTTCCTTCTACATGGCGGCAATGTATAAACAAACAAAATGGCAACCGCACAAACGTTTGTCTGGACGGACGACGTCCTGTTGACCCTGTTTCTAGGTGTGACACAATCTTTTAGCAGATGTGATTGGTTGTCAGAGAGCCTGCAAGGTGTGGACACCCAGTGAAAATGAAATGCACTGCTGACTGTTGAGACAGACCAAAGTCATCACTGCTGCAGTGTTGCATTTTTCCAGCTGTCCAAATATGTTGTTGTTGTGATCATTTTATTTCTGGTGCTCTAGTGTTATTGGGAAATGTGTGCGTACCCCTAATGAGATCAACCACACATATTATCCCTGCATGATCTAATCTGTAGCATTTCATTTACTCACTGTCATCCAGCACTTGGGGAATATTTCTCTGACCTCTTTGTGCTGCCACCATTTTCTCCTCTGCTTCAGAAACTCTCCCCTCCTCCCTGATCCTAATAGTTTTTCACCTTAGGAGCTCTTTTAAGGGCTAAGATGCTCTGTGAATGACTTTTATCTTTACGAAGACCTAGCCTCAACTTCAAGGAGAAATTCTAAGAAAATGTCGCAATTCTAAGACTTTATTTTAGAATTTCATCACGAGGAACGACTCTTCATACTAGGACGCTTTGTGAATACGGCCCCTGACATTCAGATCCACTATATGCAACATGACTGTCCACATTTTCAGATTCAGATTCAGATTCAGAATACTTTATTAATCCCCGGGGGGAAATTGTTTTTGTTCCAATGCTCCGTGCAAAGCAGAAATAGAAATAGAGCATGAATGGAAATAAGAGATAAAGATGAAGATATAAATAAGATACTAAAATAGACAATGAAATAAATAAAATAAAATATTAAAGTAGACATTAAAATAAAATAAAATAAAATATTAAAGTAGACAATAAAATAAAATAAATAATAAAATAGTAAAGTAGACAATCTGAAATATATACAATATACAATGAAATGGTTGTAGCGTTATAAATGAAATAAGAATGAGTAATTATATTGTGTGTTTTGTTTTATAAAAAGCCAAATGAGTCCGATCATCAGAGGGAGGAGTTGTACAGTTTAATGGCCACAGGTAAGAATGACTTCCTGTGGCGCTCAGTGGTGCATTTAGGAGCAATCAGTCTCTGGCTGAAGGTGCTCCTCTGTTCGACCAGAGCGTTGTGGAGAGGGTGAGAGCCATGCTGAAGTATCGCCGCACCTTTGACAGCATCCTCCTGTCTGACACTGCTGTCAAAGGGTCCAGCTCCACCCCCACAACGTCACTGGCCTTTCTGATCAGCTTGTTGAGTCTGTTGGCATCGGCTACTCTCAGTCTGCTGCCCCAGCACACCACAACAAACAGAATAGCACTGGCCACCACAGACTCATAAAACATCCTCAGCATAGTCCAGCAGATGTTAAAGGAGCGGAGCCTCCTCAGAAAATAGAGGTGGCTCTGTCCCTTCTTGTAAAGGACTTCAGTGTTCTTAGTCCAGTCCAGTTTATTGTCAATAATGTGTGCAGAGGTATGAAAAACGTCAGGATATTAACTTCTCTATGTAGCTCATTTTCTTTATTCTTACCTTTCAGGAGAGACTGCCTGAAAACGTGTGCGTCATCCCCATCTTTAAGATATCTGTATACCTATGTCCATCATTTTTCACTTTGCACTCAGAACAACTAAAAAAACATTTGATTTTTGACAAGGCCAATCACTCGAACGACCTTTATGCTTTAACAATCCACTGAAATAAATAATGCCTTTCAACCTAAGAGACAGGGTTGTAATGCTTAAGATCGGTCTAGGTCTCAAGACCACATTTTGAAGGTCTCTCGGACTCAACTGCACTTTTACTTGGTCTTGCTTCTGTATTAGCTATACTGCCTGTTCGAAAAGGGGGGTTGAATAGAATGGTTAAGTGTTTGGATTTGTTTGCTCAGAGAAAACAAAGGAACATTCCGCAGTTAATTAAGAATCTTTTGTTTTCTGTGGGTGTTTTGTGGGAATGTGGATCCTTTAGGTTAATTTGAGGAGTGTCTGGTTTGCATGTTTTATATTTAATCATAAGTGTGTCCTGCAGTGTGAGACTGGCACAGGTCTTGGTCTTTGTCTTGACCTGGTCTCACCCCCTCAAAGTCTTTGTCTTGTCTCAGTCTCAATACACTCTGGTCTTGGTCATGACATGATCCTAGTTTAGGTGGTCTTGACTACAGCTCTGCTATGAGAGCTGAAATGTTTCAGTTTATGGTTTCCATTCAGAGAAAAGCCTCAATATTATATTGGATTTCACCGTGTGTGCAGGAAATAAAGACTCTCTGTGAAACATCAATTGACTTGCATCAATTCTAAACCAGGTTTATATCTGACATAGCACTTTGCCAGCTTGCTGTGCCGAGGTTTCAGAACCACATGTGAACCCCCATGGTGAGCTGCGTGCAGGCTGCATAAATATTTTGATACAAAGTGCCCTAAAATTTTAATGGTGCAAGTATTGCTCTTCAAAACAAGTTTAATCTTTAAATAGAATTGATGTGCTCATGATTGGAACCTCACTTCCTACAACGGTTGCATTAAGATGCCAACGGTGCCGCATAGAAATTTGTGAATTGATCTGCGAGGAATGCTTGATTTATTACAATCCCCAAGGTGGTTTATATTAGACAGGTGCAAAACATGTTTTCTAAATGGGCAGACTCAGCTTCATTCAGATAATTTCATAAATCAAACTCATGTACAAACTGAAAAATGATCTTAAGATGCCATTAAAAATTCATTAGAGTGTCCAGGTTTTATAAATGAGGGTCCAGGTAATTCCTGCGCATCATATCAGCTCTCAGAACATGAAATCAGTTTATGAAATTAAAAGTTGAATGCTCCTATTGATAAATTATTTTGTGTTCAGTCTAGCAGGTTGATAGAATCACTTAAAGAGTAACTTCGGAGATAGAAGAGATGCTTACTTTGATGGAGAAGCAGGATCATGTGACCGTCACCCTGCTGTCACCTTGTTCACCTGGCACTGCGACTTCCTTTTATTCTTCTCAGCGTCGTCAAACTTCTTGGTTCATCATCTGACCCTGATGATCTGTGGATGGTAACATCAACAACTTTAGTGTGCTGCTGCCTGCTGTGCCTTTGGCAGGGCTTTATCTCAAACATCTTTTCTCTCCTTCAGAAAAGGCAGTCTGTTTAATTTAGCTGCTTTAGATCTGATTTGATATCCAATAATGTTGTGGTTATGGTGTTAAGCCAGTGGGTGCAAGGCATTGACCCAACTGCAGTCAGTTCAGCCAGACAGGAAAAGTTCAGTGAATTAATGAAGAAGTAGAGATACAGAAGCTCACAGGCAGGTATGGCTTTCAGATTTTAGGGTTCAGGTTCAGCTGACTGGAAAGCAAGGCACGAAGCAACACTGACAATCTGGCAGGGAGTGAGTGGAAGCTGGTAATATACTGCAGGGCTGATGAGGGAAAGTGGAAACAGGTGAGCAGGTGAATGAGAGTGAGAGAGACTGGGAGAGATATATGATCGGTGTGCACTGTGATTTGCTTTTTTAGGAGCTACATACAAAGACTTGCACAGCATAGCTGCGTCCCGTCGGGATTCCGCACGTAAATTATAAACAGGTTTTGGAGTGTGTTCACATTGGATAAATGACAAAAAGTATACTCAAACAAGACTTGGCACAGGAACAGGCTCTGTGAGGCTGTACTCTGAGGCAAGAGCTTGCAATGGCTATGGTAACATGAAAACTAATATTCCACTTTTATTCCAAATATAACAATGTTCTGAATTTGAAACAGGTCATGTAAACAGCATTTTCTATTTAAGGATTCTGAATTTAGCATTTTCTGATTAAGACATTTGGGGTATGCTGGTATTATTCAGGTTTTAACAGCATTATTGGGACATGTATGCAGCCAATTTGGAATAGGCCTCTGAGATAAGTTTTTACCACAGTTTGCGACACGGTTACAGTCAGCTCTGTGGATAGTCATGGATACATGACACAGTTTGCAGGGCTGGGATAGAGATGACTGCCCAAAAGAAAAGCTCATGTTTCTGGTCTGAAGAAGAAACACATCTACTTTTAAACATTATAACCTGACTTGGCTATCAACAGATTTTTTGATGTGAGCAAATATCGCGACGCCAACCTTTTCAAGAAGGCGGCTGAAGGAATGACAGAGGGAGGCTGTGTTCACACGGTCCAACAAGTCTGATGCTGGAAGGAAACTGTAAAAAAAAAAATCCTATTTTAATGCAAAGACGCAAAATGACAAGCAGCTTTAGCTGTTCTACTTTTCTTTATTTCGATGTGATAAACAACATGTAAGCGCATGTTAATCGGAGTGTGCACGACTGCATGTAAACAGAATTATTAGTGGAAAATTAATTTTCATTAAGCATTTAAACAGATTAGTAGGAATATTATTGAATATATAAGGGCAAAAACCTGACAATTTTTTGCATATAAATGTACTCATTCTCAGTGCTAATGTTTACCATGTACCATGGTATGATGTTAATCATTGCAACAATTGCTTTTTAGTTTAGTTTATTTTTGGAGGGACAGTGCAAATTCATAGATAGACCAAGTATAAAAATGCCAGAATTAGCCAAAAGGCTATTTTTCGTCTGTAGTCCCTTGGGCAAGATGTTACACAAGGCTACCTAAAATACAACAAAGCACAATAAACAAAACAGCACAAAAAAGACAAAGAAAACAGGGCATACAGTTGAAAAGACTTCTTTGAACATGTCAACAAGAAATTATTTTGATATGATTTCACAAGAAGACAATGATCATCAAATGTTTGATTCAGTGGTAAAAACCTGAGGCAAAATTGATGCAATATAAAAGGACATATAATTTTTAAAAGCACTAGAGACAGTAGTGACATATTTCCATATAGAACACCAACTGAACACCAGCAGGACATATTGTTAGCTGCAGCAGAAAAGAGATTAGTACTTACATTTGTACGTATTAATCATCCATCGTTTCAACTGATCACTGAAAGATCTATAAGTGTTAAGTTCTCTGATATGAATTGGAATTGCATTCCACTTTTTGAATCTCTTACAGACCAGGCTGACTGGCTGAAAGCACTTTTCTTCAATGAAATAGTGCAATCTCCTCTTATGGAACCCAGAGTGTTTGTCCTGCTGATATAGGCCACAAGTGGTGGTGGAGCTAAGCCACAGGAGACTTTGTATATCAAACACAAGTTTGCATATTTTATAAAGTCATCCCTGCTTAAAGTCGACTTCCTGACTTTGCAGGATCCAATAGGCAGAGAAGGTAAGGACATCAGGAAACTGCCAACACAAGCTGAGGAATTTGGGCCTCAGCTTACATAAGTGGCTTCATCTCTTACCTTTCTTTTGTGGCTATAGTTTTGTGTATTGTTTGCCCGGCCGTCATACATACTGCACTCATCCATGTTCCTTGTTTGCCATCTTAGTTTAGTGTGTTCGGATAACATAAGTTTATTAGCAATTAACACAAAGTGCAACTGAGGCTGACGAGAATGTCATTAATTTTGAGCTTTGCAGGAATTTGCACATACACTTAAAGGTCTTGTCTAGTGTGTAGGATTTAGTGGCATCTAGTGGTGAAGTTGCAAATTGCAACCAACTGAAACATCTCTCGTGTGCCAAGTGTGCAGGAGAACTACGGTGGCTGATGTGAAAATATGAATGGTCCTATCCAGAGCCAGTGTTTGGTTTGTCATGGCGGACTCCATGGAAAAGGACCTGCTCTCTATGTTTATAAACAGCTCTTTTTAATGTCACAAAAACATAATCATTCTTAGTTTCAGTTGATTATACACTAATGAAAACACAGTTATGAATATTATATTTCATTTCAGCCAGTATGTCCCCTTAAATCCTACACACTGGACCTTAAAGTATTGGGCACACTACAATTTTGAGACAGAGGAAGTCCACAGTTATTTCAATTCACCCTGAGAGGGACAAATCTCCATCCAATAACTGTTGAGACATTTCACCAAAAAACACAAAAGTGAACCTCATGAAAAGGAAAATTCAGAGCATCACCAGAGAGAGAGGTCTGGACCAACACACAACGCTGCGAGCATGCCCGAAAAGATAGTATTCATAGGCTCCTAAAAAGCACCAGATTTTGGAGGTTATTGTTGATTCTCCCACAAAGAGATGCACAAAGGAAATGAAAGAGCGGCTCACAGCTGGAAAAAATCTAATTGTGGATGATTGTGAAACAGCTCAAATAACACACCAGAAAACACAAAAATAACCATTTTGGAAAAACTGTCTCGATGTCAAGTTAACTGACAGTGGCAATCTAATGTTGAAATATGATTGTATTTGCACAGTGCGTGTACTGAATCGTCCCCTGGTAGCATAAAACAGTAAAGTGTGTGCATTTCTTGTATAACTGAAGAAAAAACAGTTTAAGATTACTGTATACAATTGGTATGCAGGATGGAACTGGGACACAGCTTGTGTCTCGCGCAGGAGAAGCTGTGCTGAGTCCAGGAGAAACTGGACACAAATGATGTGTAACTGAGGTAACCGGAGAGAAAAAGGAAAGACGGGAGGACAGGGAGTGTGTGGAGGATTACTTTCAGCCTTGCCAAGTGGCCAGTGCTGAGCTTGATACTCGAGACATTATGATTGTCTGGGGAACTATTTAAAAGAGCCAGACAAGGAGCAGACACTGCATGAAGAGGTGCAGACAGAATTACAGTAGTTTTATGTGATGTACAAGGTAAAAGCTGTAAGGTTATACAGTAGAACTGCAAAGTAGGAAAACGGGGTAAAGGGCAACAGCACAACTTATCTGAGATCCAGACAGCCAGAATCCTCAAATATCAAACCCCCACGTCATCATAGTTTAAGTGAGAAAGACCAGGTGGACAAAGGAAATAAAAATGTCTCCGTTTTTGTCCAAGTAAGGGCTCCGTCTGCTCTGTGCTGCAATATTACGGGGCCGGGGCCTTTGGTGCGTGTCTTCACCGCAGGAACTACCCCCGAAGGACAGAGTTCTGGAACTTTTACAGGGGCTAAACAAGTCCCTGCCTCGGAGTAGGTACTCAGAACGGCCCCAAAAAACTCCTGGCTGGGGCTTGGGGTTTAGTGCTGATTGGATATACTCAAGGCGGGATGTGACGTCAACAGAAAGCGACAAAATAGCCGGCATTTTTAAAACTCAGCAGACTCTCATTCATAGCTTCCACCGCCATGTAAACGAAGAGACACGCCAGAAACCCAGCAACCACCTCAGCTCCTTCCATTTTGATTATCGTCTTTCTTATGTCTGCTTTCTTCTTCTTACTTCTGCTTCATATTTCTTCTTCTTCTTTGTTGTTCTTCTTCTTTGTTTGTTTCTTTGCCGTGTCGCCCCGGTCAAAATGGTCGCTCAACGATTACGTCACATACAGAGCCCGGTAACTTTACAGGAACCTTCCTCCTACTCTCTTCCTCCTACTCTCTACTCTCTCTCCTACTCTCAGAGACACGGTGGTTAAGAGGGCCGAGCGAGAGGACATTCCTGTAAAGTTCCTGCCCCCCAAATAGTACCAGGAACTTCTTCAGTGGAAACGGGCCTATAGGTGATTTCTAAATGCCAAAATTGCAACCAATAAGTACGACGGCCTCTGGTGGCCAAAGTATTTATTACTACTGGGGCACTGGAGAAAGTAAGGCAAAGTCTGCTCAGGTGAATGAGTCCAACAAACACAGGACTTAATCCAGGAGACAGGTGTTCATGTCCCTTCTGAAACCAAAAGTCAAAGTATGTCCTATGAAGGTTGTGACGTACATCATGTCGCATTTGCCGTCTGTCACAATGTTACAGTAATAACAAATATACTTATGTTAAGACAAACCATCATCTTTTTGTAAACCTAACCAAGGGGTTTTGTTGCCTTAATCTAACCATGTAGTTTTGGTGCAACCATTTCACAAGGTTAATGAACCATGTTTAAAACCACGACCGTTCTTTCTGTTGTTCATCCAACAGGGTGCTAGTTTAGAAAAAGCTCCTGAGGGCCATTATAGAGGGTAACATACAACCTATGAGGTCATATGTGCTGACTTAATTGCATAAAACAAGCCAAACATTTTCAAACTTATGAAAAGAAACTCTAGATGGATATTTTCAGCTCGTTAATGGACGACCACGCAAAGTTATTAATGCTTTTACTGAAAGATTTGTACCTCATCCACCTCTGCGTTAGTATAAAATCATGTGTTGAGAGGCCATAATTAAGCTTGATTTCTCATCTGAAGAGCAAATCTCCAAAGCTATGACTCACCAGGCAATATCTTTTTGGCCACTGTCTTTATCTCGTGGGTTGTTTTGTTTGGGATATTTCTCGACCTTAAGAACGAGTCTCTCATCATCCAGTCTTTGTCCCCCA